ACAAATGCAATGTGAACAGCCTAACCTGAAGCCCTAAAGCTGTTCACTCTCTTTGATGAGATCCTTAGGCAGGCACCATTGCACATTAACAAAGGAAAACTTAATGGTTTAAATCAGATCAAGCGTAGGATATGTTTTTTGCATTATATTTAACTTCATTCCAGCAGGTATTTCAGTAACTCTGAAAGAGTCTACAGAATGAATTAGTCTGCTCTTCATTACACGACAGAAAGGAGTATCTTTTTTTCCTGTACAGAACTGATTCTCATCCTTCAGGCAACTGGATTTACTTCTGTTCTACTCAAAAACTGTACGACAGACAATAATACAGTTTTTAATCTTCCTGCACATCTTGGAAACATTTTTAAATGATTTTCTGCCAATCCTCTTCTGCTGAGAGCTTTCACATGGTTCACAGCTAATATAATCCTACATTCTAAAGAGGATGGATTACAGAGAATTATCCTCCCAGTTATATTACAAGTGGTGAAAGGAACCTTTTTATTTTGTCAGATACAGTTTTATTTCAGAGCAGTGGCCTGGAAATAACTGTTCCCTTATGCTCAGATTGTGCCTTTGGTCACACCACCACTTGGGTAACTACAAGGACGAGACACCTTTAAGGCATAATTTTCCCTGTTTCCCTTCACTTCAGAAGTAGTGAAAATATTTTTTTTCTCCATAAAACAGCACTGATGCCGTCATATGGTTCACTTTCTCCTGCTGTCTTTCCTGTCTTTTTTAACTGTAAGTTGATTCAGCCTGGTACTATAGTATGCAGTATTTATACAGAGATTAGGTACAGTGGGACTCCATTTTTAGCTGCCACTATTTTAACTTTGTTAACAACAAAAAAAATAGCAGTAATTTGCTATTTCTGTCCCCCTCCAGCTCCCTGTTACACACCAAAGGTAAGGGAGACAGTCAGAGTTTCATTAGATCTTCATTTGTTCTTCCTCCTTCTCCAATCCATACTCTTGGCATGAAGGAGAAGAATAAAGGTATCAATCAAATCAGTCCTCTCTTTCTTACACCTAAATCAGGTTCAGATAAATCACATGTGTAAGTGTGTATTTTACTGCTCTGTGGAAAAGGGCACTGTGAAGCACAATCTAATCTTTGGTACCTTGTTCCATTTGCTGGCAAGAAACATTCTTCTCAATGTTAAGACCATTACTAAATATTTAGCACAAGCAGTGGCCAAAGTAACTTGGGCCAAAAGGCAAAGTAACACTGTTTACGTGCAGTAGAAGTACTTGGTGAGAAAGATTTCTGGAGAAAGTTGCACAAATGTCTCCTTTGAATTTCTGGCCAAAAGGCAAGAATGGCTTTCATGCTCTTGTTTTCATGGAGCAGAGAGAGGAGTGTTGTACCAATATCTACAGCCCTCTGCTTTTCCCTTGTTTAAATAAAGACGTGTTCCATTATTTACCTTTGACAACTATTTATTGTTTTGTCCTGCTTTCCTGACGGATTGCAAACACAGATGTTTCAGTGAAAATGATAACACTGGTCTATTACTGTCAACATTCTGGTTTCTTCAGTCAAGGAAGGTGGAAAACACATCTTTGCTGAACTTCATATAATAATAAAAATAACAACAAACTCAGCCTCCAAGCCACATGAACAATGTTTTTCGACAGTATGAATTATTTCAAGAAGTTGTTCCTGAGGTTACATAAGCTTAGTAGTCTAACCCATTTCACGATGAACCTATATATCCTAACCACGTGCAAAGGCCCCAGCTGTCTAGTAAGAAATAACAGATTTTTGCACTAAGAGACAAAGGATTATTACCCAACTAATACAGGATATTGCCTAATTTCTATAAAAGCAGTTATGGTATCAAAGGTGAAGAGACTAAGAAAGTAACTGAAGAGTGTTCTTCCAAACTTTGAAAAGTAACAGTCTTTTTTAAAGTCATCCTTTACAAAGATCATTACACTGATAATCTGCAGCTGTTCCACAACTATTTGGTCCAATGTAATAAAATAAAGTCTTACAGTCTTCAGTCTTAAAAAACAGACTGCTGCTCCAGTCAATAAATAGTCTTAGTCATCTCAGATAGATCTCTTCAAACTCAAAGTTGGTTTCTGTAGAACTGCTCAGGTTTTCTAATAGTGTAATAGTTGAGTATATTAATCTGGGCCTAGTTTGTTGTATTGTTAATGTACCTACTTAAACCAAGCATTTATGTTCTCATACTACTGCTTATCCCCTTCACTTGTCTCTCTCCCACAAAGAGAGGAGAATTTAAAATTCTTATTTGCTTTGTAAATCATTTCTAGTTTCTTAGGAAAACGTCCTACTAGATTTGCTGCAGTGGCAGAAGATCCAAACTTATGCACTTGGTGCTCAACATATTTGTAGGCATGCATTTGTGCACAAACAACTGCCAGCTTATTTTGTATGTAGTACAGGACAAAAGTATAAACTACACCAGACTGCTTGTATATAGCCAAAATAAGCACCCATTCCTGTTTGTGTTCAGTAACTAACAAACCCAGCGAAAATCAAGCCCAATATGCGTTCAGAATATGGTGATTTCCAACAACTGTATAAACCAATGCTAATGTTAAAAGTTAAGAAAATAAGATTTCCTGGTCTCTTGATCAAAATGATTGCTCTCCACAAAAAAAAATTAGATGGGGCAATCCCTGGAATGGAAACAGAACATCTTCCATTCTGGAGTCTCAGGTGTACTACTTCCTAAACATTTATAGTGGTCATAAGCACCTGTTTTATTATTGCTCAAGTATAATACTTGATTTGGACAATTTGAGATGGATTTAATATAGCAGCTCTTTGTGCCTATAGCAGAAGGAAATGCAGCTCATCTGTCAAACAAACTGGCCTCCACATTCTTGCAACATGAGGCAGAAGATGATGAACTGGCTCAGCCAATACACCTGTGTACAGCTGACCTTGGATACAACAAGCTATGCTGTCATTTTCTGCCAGAAGAATTAATCTGCATAAGGATCTGTTTGCAAAATTAAGCATTCACACTGTATTTAAAGTGTATTATGAGTCAATTCTTTTCCTGCTACAGAATTTTTGCATCAGTAATTATTTCTTGGAGATCAGAGTCTAGCTGAAAGCTGCTTAGATGCAAGAGACGAGATAACACCGTCTTGCTCATCTCCTGGTGATGTTCTTCAACTGTGCCAGAATTCTGTTTGTGCAGCTGCCATGCTACTTTTAAAGTAGGTGAAGAATGAAATCCCTTCATGGCTGATTAAGTTTGTTGTTTTGCATCTCTGGGTCAAGTATATTTTTCTCTGGACTGATTTGGAGTAGAGAATTCTGAGGTTTCTGCAGATTATCAATAGACTGTTCCCACATACCACCAAGACTGTTTGCAAAGTGGTCCTTAATAAACAAGGAGACAGGAGACCCTGACAGACTCCCAAGTACAGTTCTCAACATAGTTCACATCAATATTTCTTGATCACCACATGCTGGATCAGCCTTGAGGAAAAGCACTAAGCAGAGCTGTTTCATAATGAACTACTTCCTGCCTCAGGGGAACACTGCAGTATCCTGAAGGTCTTACTGCCCATATAAATCATTTTCTATATACTATGCCAGGTAATCAGGATGCAGAGGTGATTCCTGTGCTTTCCCTTTGGTTGATGAGTCTTCCCCACTCAAGTAGTTCTCCTGCATTGCTAGGATCTGCCTGAAATCAAGTTGCAAAGAAGATCTACATGTAGATGTGGCACTTAGGGCCATGGTTTAGTGCTGGACTTGGCAGTGTTAGGTTTATGGTTGGACTCGATGATCCCAAAGGTCTTTTCGAATCTAAATGATTCTATGATTCTATGATCTGCCTCAACTCAACCTGCAAAGCCCCTGTTTTGATGGACCAGTGCAAAATAGCAAACAGCAGAAACAACAACTCTTAAAGAAAGTACCTGAACAACCCTAAGAATTAGATTGATGGTGTAAGTCCACAAGCTTTTTACACTTAGCTCTGCAATAGCTGCTCTAATACTTTTTACATCCTTTTCCATAAAGCAGTTCTATTCCTAGCTACTATTTTCTAGTGGCCTAGCGCTCATGAATACAGTGCTACAATAACAAATTTCCTAGCACTGGACAACACAGAGAAAAAGGAAACAGTTTCAGGCTTGTGAGGGACTATGATAGATAAATAAGGCAAAAATAATTCAAAGAACTTTGAAAAAATCTTGAGTTTCTTTAAAACCAATACTGCACAACAAATTAAATAACAGATGCAAAGCTGAAGTCACCAAACATCAGGGTTGGTATCTGTTAAAAGTAGTCTTGCAGCCCAGGGTCTAAGGGATACTCCAAGCCACTCCTTGACAAGTGTAAGCAATGTGACAGTGGGAAGTGAAGCGATATTATGAATGGCTGCTGGAGAGCAGGAGAAATAGATCCCAGCAGTCTGGGTTGCCTAGGATCCCAAACTGACGCCCCATGAACAGCTGAACTTTTTCAGGCTGCATTATCACTTTGCTTGTGTTTCAAGATTTTGCAATTCATTGAGATATTATAGAACATAGCCACGAATATCACATAATCTTCAATTTTCAGGTATGTAAAGCTATTTCATTAACAAATTGCTCTACACTTACTCCAAATTTACCTAAGTTGTTATTATTCACCATGGAAATATTTCCAGTGCCTAGTTCTCCCCATCTATAGCTATTAGTCAAGGTGACATAGGAAGTGTTGAAACAGCAGATCTTGTTAGAACACTAATATTATTAAGACAGAAGTTAATAATTCTGCAAGTTAACTTTATGACCAATTAATCATACAATGTGATGAGTGCTGGAGGCATTTTATTCCAGATGCATATCCTAATCTACCTGCACTAAAGCACAGCTCAGCAAGGCAGCTTTGTGGTTGAAATACAAAGCAATAAAATGCTGAGTTAAAAGAAACTCTTTTGAACTACCAAGAACTCAGGCTATGAATTAAAATCTTTTGCATTTAGCAGGTGTTGTGCAATGCAGTGTAACTCTTACCTCCATGGGAAAAGCCTTAAAATTAACTGTGTGCTCAGAACCACGCTGGTTTTCTCTCCCCCAGTGAAATCGAACATCATGTAGTTCAAACTCATGTCCTCGAGGTAATGGTCCCCCTATTAGCACTGGGAAAGAAGACAAATGGTAAGGAACTTGGCTTTCAAAGCAGACAAGCCACTGAATATATTCTCCAAATACAATGGGGATATTGTTGCAAGCTTCTTTATTATCAGCCGTACTAGAAAGGAGACGAGTAAAGTTGACAGACTTGACATCTTCACTTTTGAAGTACCAGGCAGGTACAGAACACGAATTCAGGCAGTTATGAACAACAGTGAAATTGCTGTCATGCTGCACTCTTTGTTTTATGAGACAGAACAGCTGGTCATAACACGAAATAAAAACATTGTACCTTTATCAGTCAGAAGAGGGAATATGTTTATTGCTCTTATCAAGACAGTAGCTTTGTGCTCAAAACAGATGGCAGGGGTTCTGAATTGAACTGGTAACTACCTCCAACTTGTCCGAATGCTTCATTTCCGTCACTTATATTTGTTATGAGTCACAGAAATGGATAGAAAACTTTTGATTGTCAATATTTTGCTAGGTAAAGGTGTTCAGTCATATACCACCTGTCAGGCTTCTGAGATACAGAATGCCTCCATATCCAAATATAATCAAGCGTACACACAGGAGCAACAACATACCTCATTTACTTAAAAACAGCTTCTAGGCAGCCATGGCTTTTTTTTACTTCAGTTTTTTAAACATCTGGAATTTCTTAAAAGCATCTGTCCTCAATTGCAACACACACACAAAAAATTTATATAGTAGCTTGATACTTTTGCATTAATAGAGACTTCCACCATAAGTAGTAAAAGCAAGCAATTGTACTTGTGAGGCCCAATCTACTTTGGAATTAATCAATGGAAACATTTTGCCCAGGGATTTCTGAATCTGCTTCAGATCAAATATTACTCCACAAGCTGTAGGTAACTTCCCACTGAAAACATTGAATACTGGCTTCTAGGCAGGGCTGGATTTTACTTAAGGGCATTCACAGTCTTCCCCAGAATCCACTAAATTCTAGCTTGCGTTTAAATGACTTTGAATTGATCTTTCACAATCTCTGATAATTGATAAGGATTATTTAATTGCATAACCTACAGCTTTAGAGAATTAAAGTTCCATAATATAAAGTTATTTTGACACACAAACTAAATAGCCTTAGTTTGGAGCACAAGACATAGTGTAATACTAAAACATAATTTAGCAATTGAATCATATTGCAACTGTACAAACACAAAAACAAAAGTACAGAACTATAAAAAACTGAAAGAAAACTATCAGTTACGGTTTTCATAAGCAATTACACTAGAGAAAAAAGTAAAATATTCCAATTAATCCCCCTCTAATAATTCTTCATAACTAATCTAACAGCTAGTAGGGTTTCTAAAATGAAATGTCCTAAATGTAGTTACAGATTCAGATTTGCTTCTTAAACTTGCTTTATCTATATTCTATCTATACCTACATCCTATAGGGAAAATCTACAGATCTGGTGAACATTGGGGGAAACAACCAATTGAAGTATTTAGGGAAATGTGGACAAACAAAAAGAAACATGATACTCAATTAGTGCTATTTCTTAGGAAAATGGAGCTTTTTCTCTGTTTTAAAATATTGCCTCCAGAGAAACTGTAACTAGAACAAATGTTCTCTATATGGTGTAGTTCTGCACCTCCAGGAGCTTCAAAGAGTTTATTTCTGAGGCTTAAGTTACAACACTGATCCCATGATAAAAGTATTTCAATGCATGAAGCATGTTTATCTTTCCTTTGCCTTTCATCAAACCTTGATCCTTGTCAATGCATGAAACATGTTTAACTTCACTTTGCCTTTCAGCAATTTTTGATCCTCATTAGAAAATGATCCTAAAACCATCATCCACTGTGCAATCCACTGCTGGCTTAAAAGAAGTCTCTGTTAGCAGGATATCCTCTAAAGCATTTTTCAATATACAATTCCATTACACAGTTGGTCATGCTTCTTCCACCTAATGCATAACACATGTACGATGATCAAACTGGAAGCAGCCTGTGAAAATGTTTGCAATTAAATAATGAGAAGGATTTGGGAATTCCAGATGGACTGCGTGTCCTGAATTAAAGGATAAAATCAATCACCAGGAATGACAAATTGATTTTTAATATGTATCTTAATCAGTTTACTTTTTTCCACAAAGAAGTTTTTCTTTGACTGTTAACATTACAGTAGATGAGGATCTCTTGCACATTAATTGGACAGAGTTTCAAAAGCACTTAGTGCTCAACAGTTCCCATTAAAATAATCTGGCTAAATGGATTTGTCATCAGAGATCCCCTGTGAGGAAAAGAAGCTGCAGGAGTTTCCGCAGTCCCTGAAAACTGGCCAGAATACTAGGTCAAACACAGCTTATTAACTCTTTTCTCTTCTTGGTAGGGATAACAAATGTTGTCTTCCCCCTCCCAAAAATGGAAAAATTATCCCCAGTTTACAAATAGAGAATGGGAAATTATGTAACATGAAAACTAAGGAAAAGCTGAAACTAAAACAAGATTTCCTAAATCATAATTCCATACCTCAGTCATAAACTTTTATTCTATTTCACATTTTCTTATATTTCAAGACTCATCAGTCTGGCATCATGCTGCATTCAAGTTTAAAAAGTAGTCTTTCCTTCTCCTAAGTCTCCAATGGTTTTGCACATACATGCATTTAGGTGTGTTGGTCCCATCTTATTAATTATTGCTACTAAGTTACAAACTGCCCCTGGGAAAGGTAGAGTTGAAGGAGTTGCATTTTGGCATGCAAGCAATGACATCATTTGCAGATGCTCTCACTTCCTCCACAGGAGAATTCAAGAATTTTCCTGATCCTGCAGAAAGACCTTGAGTCCTTGGGAAAAAGCTCTGCTTCTGATACAGGCAGTAAAACTGACTGGAAGTACAAAATTTCTACTCTATTGCAAATCTGCAAAATTCTGTAGAAAGAAATGTTCTGTGTTGCAATAATACATGGAATTTATCATGGAAAGGAAATTATAAAGGAAAGCATCATTAGTAAAATAACAAACCCTTCCTTTTTAAAAAATTCAGTGTAAAACTGAACTGACTCCCTCACTTTCAGCACAGCTGTAGCTCCCAGGACTACTGGGATCTCAGAAGGAAAAAAAAATTGGAATGTCTCACGGTTTGACAATGTTCGGCTGTTTGAATGCCCCCCAAAGGTTGTTACTAGCTAAGATTGGTTAGAATAACTTGGATACTCTTCCAAACACATGGTAAGAACTACCACCCTGCTGGAAAGCACAATGGACTTTTTTTTTCCCTACTTTCTTGACAGTTGTCTCCTTCAGACAGAATAGTTTACTCAGATGAAACGTCTGAATGAGATACTGCAATTTCACTTAAGCTGGAATTGTTTCTTTTATTATTTGCTTCTAATTCTTATTTGATGAATGACACAAAAAAAACCCCAAAACTTTAAGAAATGAGGACCGCTTCGCTACCTGCTCTTCATCAACATTGTAAGCATGTATAACTGGAGTATCTATCTTAAGCTGCCAAATTCTGTAGTTAGTACTCAGAACCCACTCAAATTAATGGAAAAAGCTCTTTTAACTTACATGGTCTTCAGACCAAGGACAAATTTTGCCAGCTGTACAACGCAGTTTGGCATCACGCTGTCTTAGTGATAGTCTGGACTGCTTCTGAACGCAGACAGCTGTTAATGCCAGTGCATTAGATGACACCACCACAGGAGGAGATTCTGGACATGCTCTGAAGCAATCTGACTTACCATCCAGTTTGGCGTTGAAACTTGCAGTTCCCATTGCTCAGCTTACTCCTTTTCCTGCTGAAGTCAACAGCAAGAACACTCTTACCCGCCGCAGGGCATGCCGAATGAGCACAACCGCTCGCTGCTGGGAACAGCTGCTGCTCCTATGCTCGGGGCCACACGTACAGCGAGTCTTAAGGAAACGCAAGCTTTAGCGGGGAAAGCAAAGGCCGTGTTTCGGCATACCTGATTTTGACTTCAGGGCAATCTGAATCGAATGCCCGTCGTTGATCACTTCGCAGTCACGACACACTACGTAGTTTGGCGACAAGCGCACCTCCAGGAGCGAGGGGTCATACTTAGCTTCTCTCGAGTTCAAGTTAATAGGCGACTGGTACTCCCCGTTAGCGTCCGGAAAAATCAGCCCCCACTCCACTCCTGAGACACAAGGGAAAGCCGTTACGGGGAGACCCGGCACCCGGCGCTGCACGGCGGCTTCCCGGGACAGCCAGACCCTCCCCGCCCTCACCGACCGCCTCGCTGCTGCCCACCGGCGCGGGAAGGCGCGGCG